ATCAATCATCAGTCAATCTCCTAGACAATGATTTAAACCTCAGTGGAAACAAAAGAGGTAGAGATTCTTCTCTAGACTGAAGCTAACAATTGTGCTTTTGTTTCTTTGCTAGAGATTGACTGAAAGGAGTTTGCTGTTATGGATCCTCCACAGGCAGATCGCGGCATATACTGATTCCCACCTGTTTGGAAGACTTTCACCCACTCTCACCTGGGCCACAAACACTCTTTCACTGAGGAACATCCATAAATAGCACTACTTCACTGAATGCAGACTGGAGGAGTACAGTCAAGCTTCCCCGGGCTGGTTTCCTTGCATCTGCTCACTAGTAAATAAACACACCCTCCGGGTTGAACTCATTTCCTTGTGTCTGTTCTCCTTTTTCCCCTCAGGAACCCACTACAGTCTTTAAACTGGACTGAAGTGGCAGAACTGCACTTCACTGCATTGAAACAAGCCATCACCACAGCCCCAGCTTTGGGCCTGCCCGACTACAGCAAAAATTTCCACTTAGATGCCCGCGAGGTGGAGGGGGGTAGCCATTGGCATCCTGTTGCAACTGCATGGTTCCACTTATAAACCATTAGCATACCTGTCTAAGAAGCTAGATAACATAGCTTCAGGTATGCCAGCATGCTGTGGCTGCAGCTACTCTTGTTGTACATATGGCTGAGAGAATGGTTCTGTCACACCCATTGATCTTATATACTTCTCATCAGGTAGGGGCCATCCTACACAATATGCAAACACAACATATGACAGCGCAAAGACGCTCGGATTACGAGGCAATATGGCCACCAAAAACCTCACCATTCAGCTGACAGCATCCATTAATCCTGCGCTATTAAGAGTTTTTGGTATGGCTGACATGGTAGATAATACTACAGATCATGATTGTATCATTGAATTGACTTCATGTTCTTCCAGGGCCGGCTATCCAGTGCGTTGTGATTGGCTGAATACCTCAAGCGTGTGATGGAAATGTTACGCCCCTTACCATACTGTGATGCCGTGTGTCCCGGCACGATGAGACGACACCAATAAAACCCATTACAAACGAGGCATTTGTTGCATCCAGTGGGGACATAATTACTGATTATAATGACTTGTACTGCCACACACAGCATCGATTTTGCTTGACAATCATCATAAGACTGCGGTTCTCTCGGTTGGCTGTGCATCTTTTTCTTCCACTCAACTTTCTGTTAACATGCTTGGATACAGCACTTCTTAGCAATGCATATTACTAATCAAAAATTAAGTTTTGATATATTTATGGTAGGAAATTTGCCAAATATCTTCATGGAACATGATCTTTACTTAATATCCTAATAATTTGTGGCATAAATAAAAAATCTGTCATTTTGATCTATACAATGTATTGTTGGCTATTGCTACAAATATATCAGATATTTTGATATATATTATTATTACAAAAATAGGATTACAGAATCAAGAACTTGCTGAAGTACAAATGTTCATTTTGCTGATTTTCTTTCTTTTTGATATATTTTCTTTCTTTCAATTTTACATATTTTCATATTCTTTATTCTAATTGCAATGTTTAACCTAAATCAATGGGATGGATGGATGGATGGATGGAGGTATGGGATTGGAAGGATGGATGGAGGTATGGGATGGGATGGATGGATGGAGGTATGGGATGGGAGGTATGGGATGGGATTGGAGGGATGGATGGATGGATGGATGGATAGATGAATGGATGGGGATTGAAAAGGAGCTAATACTGAATTGTGCCCACTCCAGCAAAGTAAACAAGACTTTGTGCCAATAGTCAAATGTCTGTGTACATCAGACAGACGTCTGGCTGTATCTGTTCCTCTAACCACAGACTGGGGAGTAAATAAATCTCTATTTTGGACTTTGTGAATCTGGTATGGGATGGGATGGATGGATGGGATTGGACAGATGGAGGTATGGGATGGGATTGGAGGGATGGATGGATGGATGGATGGATAGATGAATGGATGGGGATTGAAAAGGAGCTAATACTGAATTGTGCCCACTCCAGCAAAGTAAACAAGACTTTGTGCCAATAGTCAAATGTCTGTGTACATCAGACAGACGTCTGGCTGTATCTGTTCCTCTAACCACAGACTGGGGAGTAAATAAATCTCTATTTTGGACTTTGTGAATCTGTCTGGCTCTCACATCACCCTGTGCAATGCAAAGAGCAGCCCACGTGACCTCAGCAGGGACAGAGGTCAACTCTGAGTGTGGCCCAGGGCCCTTAAAAATAAACAAATTTTCCCAACTCTCCTCTGCAGAAAAGGGACTGTTTTTTAAATTGGCTAATGACCAGGTGGTTTAGCAAAGGTCACTGAATTTTAAAACCTTCCAAACTGCACCTGCTCCCCCAGACTTACGTCTCAACTTCACCCTTGATTTTCAGCCACAAGTGAATCAGAAAGGTCATCGAGGGACAGTTGTGGGTAAATGGGAAGATGGGAATGAAACCTGCTGCACTGTTTTCTCATCTTACTTTCATGAGCTAACCACACAGGGACAGGAAAGAGGAGAGATCATGGCTCTGATAATTCTGCCAATTAAGATGTGCTTTGAATTATTCCAGGGGTTATTAAAATATTGGAGTCACCATCATATGTTTGTAAAGGCTACGCTAACGTGACAATAAAGGCAAAGACTTTCGACTCCGATGTAGCATAATTTCACCGCCTGACAGCCACCTTGACAGTTCGGATATAAATGGAGACCATTGTGCTTAAAGCTGGATGCTTATGCACTTTGTTCCTGAAGAAGGCGAGTGATTATCCTTGAGTTTGGAGGTGAACACGTTACACGTCCTTGAAGAGGGTTGTAAATCCAGGCATCTCTTTTACTGAGGAATACTAAGTGAGATTTTCACCGTTGGCTCATCCAGTAAGGGAAATAGGCTCAATGAGAGAGTGAAGCGAAAGAAGGTGCTTCATAATTAAAAAGCCCGTTCGGCTCGTTTATCTCCATCATTAAGGCATAATCACTCCATTGTAAGATGCACCTCATTTTCCTCTATTTAGATCAATCACTGTGAGCCCTTTGTGAGAGTGGAGTGCACAGGAGAGACCAGTCGCTGGTAACTACTAGGAGACTCACCTCATCAAAGGAAATCAAACACTTTTGCAAAAGAACGAACAAATGAACAGATGAATGGACAAAGGAATGGACAAACAGCAATCAGTGTGTGAAGAAATAATTTGTTTGACTGACTCACTTCATTGATTGTTTGGTTGCACAAATGAATCAATTTTAGACTTCTCTTTACTTTGATTCTAATTCTTCTTATCATTCTTTCTTAAAATGATTTAAATTTTCATAATTACATTTATATACTACTGTGTAATAAGCATAAAAACAAACAAGAAATCAAACACTTGAAATGAATGAATAAACAAATAAATAAATAGCAATCAGTTTGATTGAATGAATAAGTGAATCAATGTAAGGCTTCTCTTTTCTTTTCATATAAACATAATGCCGTATTATAATATATACTGTAATATATTCTTTCCACTTTTCACCATTACAAATAAATATAGTACTGTTACAGCACTACAAAAATGAACAATATAACAACTATAGACCTATTAATACATTCTATAAAACAAACTGTTCAATGTTCATGGTGTCTAATGCATTAATGCTAGTGAATTGAACATTATTTTAAGTGTTACTGAAAATATATTTATATTGTGGTTATGCTTAAACTGCTGTTTGGAATAATTCAGATTTTTTAATGTTTTTGAACATAAGAAAGTCTCTCAACAAGAAGTCTCTTATTATCACCAAGGCTGCACTTATTTGATGAATAATACAGTAAAGACAGTAATATTGTGAAATATTACTGCTATTTAAAATAATTGTTAGAATTGTAACAATTGTTAATTGTTGGATATATTTAAAAATGTAATTTATATTTCAACAACGATGACACTGAAGACAGGAGTTATGGCTGCTGAAAATTCAGGTTTACAGGAATAAATTACATTTAAAATATAAATATATATTAAATATTTTTTTTTTAGTTCCCACTTTATATTAATTGGCCTTAACTACTATGTACTTACATTTAAATTAATCATTTGGTACAGTGTACTTATTATGTACAGTGGGGAAAATAATTATTTGATCCCCTACTGATTTTGTAAGTTTGCCCACTTACAAAGAAATGAAGGGTCTATAATTTTTATGGTAGGTTTATTTTAACGGATAGAGAGAATATCAAGCAAAAAATCCAGAAAAAAAACACTGTACAAAGGTTATAAATTGATTTGCATTTCAGTGAGTCAAATAAGTATTATATGTAGTAGTATAGTATATAGTATCCAAATCAAAATGTAATAAAATTAATTTATGTGTGATTTATGTGTAAATTATGTGCAATGTCTTCGCCACTAGGGATTGTTACATAGGGCTATACAGGCATCTAGTGGCAACACAATGATATTACAGATACTAAATTGTGCAAAATGTTTATCTCAATTTACAAATAATGCATTCAGATTTGTGGAACTCAATGCACTGAATCTCCACAAATTAGTGTCGTTACTATGACCACCAATTTGAATGTGACAAGCAACTGGTGCAGCCTTGGTGAACATGAAAGAGACTTATCTTGTATAGTAGTGTATATATAAATATATAAATACAACAAATTGGTTAATGAACAAACAACAATCATTGAGTGAAAGAAGAATTTGATTGTCTACCTAACTGACGACATTGATAAGACATTAGCATTAGTTTCTTTCATTTGTGCTTATATGCAATTTTGCAAATACATCCATGCAGCCAGTGATGACTATAGAGATGACTATACAGCACTCCCAGCACACTTTATGACCATTTCTACCTCTCGTCTGCCCTTCTTTCTATCAACATGATTGATTCTGCTAGACTCCTAGATTACGATCTTTTGAACTGCAGATACAGAAGTTTTCATCTTCAATTGGGTATGATGGCTTGACAGGCTTCAGTCTTACCCCATCTGGTTTGCCATCGGAGGCCGTGACCGTTAGCGTGTAGTGATCCGTGAGCTCTCTGTCCAGCGACTTCGCCAGCAACAACAGGCCAGACCTGAAAGCAAAGATTATGTTGAAAACCTGTGGATTATAGAGCCCAGAGGTCTAAGTGTTTTAACTTTATGGTGGCTTTAGAGGGCAAGCAAAAGTGAAAGAGGGAAAAGGTGTTAAAATTCACACCATGTGCTGAGAAAACAAAACTGGAAAATGTCATACGCACAACTGGCTACAGCCAAAATCCAGACAAAATGAATCATGTTCGGCTGAAATTAGTTCATCAAATATAGGCTGGATGGAATTATGTCCTGCTGAATGAGACGGCTGGGCAATATATTCATTTCTTGCAAAACCTGTGCCACTGTGAAAGGCTGAGGACATTGTATGTGTGCCTGGGGACGATTAGAACTGAATTAATTGCTGTCAGGCAACAGCAGCCATGAGTAAAACATTGTGCCCCATTCAAATGAGTTCTAGAACACTGTGCATTTGGTCACACATTTACATTTGTTTACATGGTAATGCAAGTTTAACTAAGAACGTCTCGGTTACGTATGGTAACCCTCGTTCCCTGAAGGAGGGAACGGAGACGTCACGTCGGATGACCGACGAAATTGGGATCTCGCTTAGAGGGACCAATCTACTTCGAGTGTAAACTAAACGAGCCAATGCACATTGGCATGCGATTATTGCATCCAGCTGCTGCTGATCACAGCGTGAGTATAAGTAGGCAGCAGATGCACCGCATATTCAGGTTTTCGCTGAGGAGCCGAGACGGTGACCCGGCCGCTCAGCGGTGGTACAGGAACTGTGGCGACGGGACATGACGTCTCCGTTCCCTCCTTCAGGGAACGAGGGTTACATACGTAACCGAGACGTTCCCTTTCAGTCGGTCACTCTCGACGTCACGTCGGATGACCGACGAATTGGGATCTCGCATAGAGGGACCAATCTACTTCGAGTGTAAACTAAACGAGCCAATGCACATTGGCATGCAATTATTGCATCCAGCTGCCGCTGATCACAGCGTGAGTATAAGTAGACAGCAGATGCAGCGCATATTCAGGTTTTC